CGGACAAAACCCTTTTAAAAAATAAACCCCCCCCCCCCCCCACAGACACACACACTGACCTTGTCCTGGCTACATAAATGCAATGAGAAGTGCCTTTGAATATTTAAAACAATGCTATTATGCCATAGCTAACAAATACGAAGTTTACAGAAGGATGCAAAAATCAACGCTGAGCATGTGTCCCATTGTTTCAGGGGGGAAAAGAGCAAGAATGAGGGAGCTGAGAGCAAGGAATCCAGTAGGCAGCGGTTCGGTAGGTCCGAGTACCTGAGTATCCTTGAGAGGTTCTGCGTCAGAGCTGGCACACCGGTAGAAATGGAAAAGTGCACAAGCAGCAAGACAGAGAGAGACACCAAGATAGCCGAGTTAATGACCACCGCCCCGCCAACGAAGCCAAACACAAATAGCAGCATGCATCCAGGACTCATGGCGCTGCGCTGGCATGGTGAAACGCCGGAACCAGGAAGGCTACAAAGGGGACGAGGGTGTATCTTTGTAGTGAAAGTCTGTCATTCAGCTGCTGCCACAAAAACAATGCCATCAGCAGCAGCTTTCCACTCTCTTCTGCAGCAGCTCCAAAGCAATGACATCACCTCTCTCCTCCCCCACCAGAGCTGCTGCTCTTCTCAGCATCTATGCAGCAGCAGGGAGACTCAGCCAGCTTCTTAGCTATTCTCCCCCTTCGTTTCGGCCCCATAGATCACTGGCTGGAAAGCTCCGAGATCTACATAATATATTCACATCAAGCTCGTAAATCGGCAGAGATGCACCGTCCTCATCCTGTCTATGAAGCAGCAGCCACAGCACGGTTTAAGCATCGCTAACCCTCCAGGAGCTATTTTTACTGCCTGCGTGTTGTTTTAAAAATCATTACAGCTAAAGCGGGTACATTTGTAAGCCAAAATGACTGCTGAAGACTAATGCACCGATATCCCAACAATGGCAAAAGCCTTTTTCCACCGATTTCTACTCTATTCTCCTACTGCATTCCAATCATACAACAAATCTGTCTGATTCAGCCGAACTGTTGTTGTAGGATTAAAGAACAGGCAAAGTCTTACAACAGCAAATGAATAGGGTTTTTTTTTTTTTGTTTTGTTTTTTTCCAGGGTGAGAGCATAATAAAGCTTACCTAATTCTACTGTGTGGGGTGGATTCTAGCTGATCGCCCCCTGTTAGCTGATGGAGTTTGGTTCTTTCCAAGTGTTCCATATAATTGTGTATCATCTGTTTGAAACAATAAGAAATAATATAAAAAAATATTCAGTACCACTTGCATGGTATTGTTATAGCATACTTCACAGCTGGTATTTTTATACCATTTGATAAATCTCCTGCTTAACATCTATAAAGATACCAGAAGCACAATCAGTTATGATTTAAGCTTAAAATACCATCATTTCTTTGCTGCTTTGGTATTTTTAAAGAATGGTAGGTTCAAATATCTAGTATAAGTCTACATCTTAAACAAAACTTCTTCCAACTGTTTGTCCGGCATATAAAAGCCAGTTTCATTTTAATTCCCCAGACACACTCCTATATCCATGCATAGGAAACATACGAACAGGGCATTTCTAACAAAATTTGACAACTATTTGTTCATATGTAAAAATAACCAAATCCCAAGGACTGTACCCAAAAGAGGTTTAAATATACCAAAATCATGAAGCAAAACAAAAGATGATGACATTGAGAGTTGTTGCTGTTTCTTCAAGATTGGGATCTTCACAGTTGCTAAATCTAACGCACCCTCACCACCTTTATAATGCCAGCTAGTAACAGTGAACAGCAAAAAGGTAGCTAGAATTTACTAATAAACAAGGATGCTTGAAATGATAGTACCTTTAGAATAAATTAAGATTTCTTTTTTTAAAGAATACATTAAGAAATTAATTTAGGAAATGGTGTTTGGAAGTTGGCAGAGGAAGAGGTGTAATGCATTTTGTAGGCATTTCTTAGATTTCATGTTTTCTGCTTGGGCAATTCCTAGTGAATTAGTGGTGAAAATTCCCATTCAAAACAATTTTTAAAACAGGGGAGATTAAATGAACAGATAATGACTGAGTTGAGTAAACTTCAGTATTATCCTCTTGGAAAAAAAGCAATACACCAAAACCAAATTAAAGATTTTAAATGCATATTGCCTTGTTTTGGGGCGTTGTTTTTTTTGCTGTTGTTGCCAGCTTTTTTGTTGCCTTGCATAACCAGGCCTTTGTGTCATTACATTATTTATGTATCTAGGGTACAGCAAACACCATGAGAGGTATGTCAACACCATAATATGGTCAGTTGTAGGCATCTGATGTTTTACATTAAGTGAGGATTTTGTAAAACTGAAAATATAAGGTGTTCTTACTAACAGTAGCAATGAACAGAAATAACAGCCTCTAAAGAATAAGCCAAGCAACTTTGACTATAGAGGGACTAATTCACCCATTTTATTGCTCAAGCATTCTCTGCAAAGATATGCAGCTGCATTTTTTAGTGATTTTCCATACGGTAAAGAACAAAAAACAACAACTACCTTCCCATTAACAGGAACCTGTCTGAGGTTAAATGAAATTGTAACTGCCACATCTGGGTTATCCTTTGTCAGGAATTTAATCTAAAAATAAAATTAAACAATACCAGTTGCTTGCTACCCTGAATAATACCCATCAGGGATATATGCTGAGACATGGGCTTATGAGTACTTAGACAATCCCTTCCTCTGTTAAAAGTTCCTTGTAATGTATACCCAGATTTTCCCTCTCATTTCACAGGGAAAAGTTAAGCTAAGCTATCTATACAAATGAGGAAAAGGTAATTTTTGAGACAGATTTCAGTTTTTTGTGCTTGAACGGTTAAAAAATGTAATATATTCCTTTCAGTTTAACGCATGCTCTTCGGGCTGGTAGTTTGCAGTTACTTAAGACCAATCTTCAATAGCACGTGTGATGTGGTACCTAGACAACAGAGTCTTCTGTCAATCCAATCAGCAGCATGAAGACATAAAGCAGAGATCACAGAAATAATGTCAATCAATTTTATGAAATGGCTCTAATGATAACGGTTGCAAAAAACCCCAAAACACTGCAGACATTTTACTACTGAAACAGGTTTTAAGTGTTAATTCTTAACCATTTCTTTACTGTCCGAGCCCCCAAGGTTTGGAATAGACTGCCGCCGGAGGTGGTTCAAGCACCCACTTCGAACACCTTCAAGACGCATTTGGAAGTTTATCTTGCTGGGATCCTATGACCCCTGCTGACTTCCTGCCCCTGGGGCAGGGGGCTGGACTCAATGATCCTTCGGGGTCCCTTCCAGTCCTAATGTCTATGAAATCTATTTTAAAATACCAAGAAACTGTATACGCATTAAGCCAGGGGTGGGCACAATAGGGCCCACAGGCTGGCACCCACCGATTAATTGTATCCCGCCCAGCTCCTGTCCCTGCTGCACTGAGTGCCCTGGGGTTTGGCAGCTTGGACTGGGGCCAGGGCAGAGCTGTGATCTGCAGCCTGCATGCTCCGGGCAGGGGCACACAGGCAGCGGATCCTGGCTCTGGACCAGGCTGTCTCCGCTGCAAGGCATTAGGGCACAGCCACGATCTGCTGCCTAGACGCCTCTGCCCAGACCGTACAGGCTGCAGATCACAGCTCTGCCTTGGCCCTGGACCAAGCTGCCCCGCTGCAAGATCCCAAGGGCTCCGAAGCAGCCCTGTGCCCTGCCCTGCCAGCACGGCTGGGGCTAGTCTCCGTGGCAGCCCCAGTCTTGAGCTATCATAGCACAGGTGCACGTGGGGTCCTCATGGAGACCAGCCCCAGCCATGCAGGTTAGGGCTACTGGGAAATGGAGTGTGGCTGCCAGCTGGATCTGCTATTTTGCCCACCTCTGCTCTATGCAAACGCATGTAAATCAGGACAAAAATATTTTTAAATGAAATTAAAATGTTATCGTACATATCTGATTTTTAGCACATTTTCTTTTTTTCCTGGTTCCAAGATGGTAACCTTCGCCCACCCCCCAGAAGTACTTCTGGTGGCAAAGGTCGGGGTGGGACTTTCAGTCCCAAGATGGCAAATGGGGGCAGCCCTTGACAGTTCAGCAAAACTCATTAAGTGGCCCTCCGGCTGAAATAATTGCCCACACCTGCATTAAGCACTTCTAGACAATACAAGTCCGATTGCTTTTAAAATACAGCCTGGGAAGTTACCAACTAAGGCATGAGATTCACTTGCCTGTGCAGTTTTATGTTGAATGGAATGCAAGTGGGACAGGAAATAACTCATGACACTACTAATAGCAAAGAAACTAGACTTGCAAAGGCTACTATGTGTTTAAAAAGGACTTGAAGTTTCAAAGAAGTAAGTGAGAGTATAGTTTTGAGGGGTTATAATTGGCCATTTCCAACTAAGAATGACACAGAAAGTTTGGGAGTCAAAAGAAAAATATATAATGAAAAAAAACTAGAGCAACAAAACTACTAACGGGAATATAATAAAGGGTAATAAAAATTAATACTGGCTCAGAGTTTAACTTTATTTTTACTGGGAGTTCCATTCAGGTGAAAAAGGTGTAAATTCATTATTGCTGGGATGACTCTGCTTGTCATTTCTTATCAGATTGTCTTCAGCACTAGTTTAAGAGTAATTAGTCAAGTATAAGTTGCATGAAAACAAAACCAAACCAAAGCAAATCCACATGTGCAAGAAATCTCTCCCCTAACACCAAATGTTAGGGCACGAGCATTCCTAAAAGAGCTCTTATGCTAAAACAATTGCAATTACACTGCTTTCCTCAAAGCAAATCATGATCTCTTGGTTCTACCCTCTGAATTATTTGAGAATCCAACCTCGCTTCTGATGCTGATTGATCAAGAGCTTTTCATTAGCTGGATACACTGAATATTAAGATTTGTTCATCTTGTAAAACTAAGATTTTTAGGCAGGCTATGGGACAAGAATTTTAATAAGGATTTTCATTTAAAGCTACTGCAAAACTAGAATCTAAGTGCACAGTTCATCAAATAAAGCCTATCAAAACATACAAGTAGGTGATTTTCAATAAAAGGGTAAGCTACTTTTGTCAAAGATAAGCTACTTTTAAACCTCCTGCAATTGTAAGCGATAGAAACAAAAGAGCACAAAACAGGAAAAAAATGAAATTTAATTTTCTCCTCATCAAATTGGAACGTATACTTTAGGCATCAAATAAGGAGTTTGTACTGCACAGCAACAGCAGACAACTTCAAAGCCAATGTGCTGGCTTCCTATACAGGTATTTAAATGGTGCTCAGCATTGCCTGCTTGAGCCCTTGATGTCATGAAGCATTAATGAAATAGACCTTGGCCATGGCATACCCACAAGGAACTGAGGCAAGTCCACCCAAAGAAGATTCAGATTTCTGCTTCTGAAGGAAGAAATGTTAGCCTCTCCTTTCTCTCCTTGAGAAAGAAAGTGTTGCCTGAAGCACTCAAAACCTGGTATAACCTCAAGTATGGAGTAGTTACAACTCCGGTTTCAAATGCACCAAATTTAAGTCTTCCCCGTTCACATCGTTATGGAAGAGGAACTGGGTTAAAAATACGTAGTTTGGTCTTTGTGTACAAGGTTGTTAAGAGTCAGCACCTTACACACGGACTAAGTGGGGAATTCTCTTAACTAATCAAGCATTTGTGTTTAGTGACCACAGTTCCAACGGCCTCCTGGATCATGACGGGTTTAAATTTCTTTTCTTTCTGAAGCATGTTTCAAATCAGTTCAATATTAATGAACAGGTAGCTCTCATGCTCCAGATGGTGAAGACTGACAACGTTCAGTTTTCATTTTAACCAAGTAAACATGAAAGCAAGCCTTTGTGATATTTGGCATTGCTGTATTAGGTTCCCAGGGTGAAATAACACTTGATCTGAACCCTCAAGAGGTTGAGAAGCGGCAGAAGAAACAAAACCCCTCTCCATTATGAAGGTATTTAGAGCAAGAATTTAGTGTGTCCTTTCTCTTAAAAAAAAAAGAAAAAAAAAAGAAAGAAAGAAAGTTTTTTTGGTTTTTCTCCAACCTATACATCTGCAGGTTCCTCTGCTGTTCCAAGGGGTAAAGACTCCCCTTTTAAGAACAGGCTTATCCAGATTTTGTTTGGCCCAAGAAGAGAATAAAAATCTTGCAATGAAAGCTAACACGTGCTGCATCTCTTGCATCAAGACATCTTGTGGCAGATATGGGTGAGTAATTCAAAAGAGAAACTC